TAAGCCCTAAGCCCTAAACCTATATGTTTCAGGACTCCTAGTCCCAGACAGCAGTTGGCGCCAAAGCTTCCACCGCCAGAGCGGGTGGGTTGTTTGTTCTCTGGATGCCCTGGCATTCTATCTGGGGGCTTTATAGCCTGGGCGCGGAAAGTGTGGGAGCAGCGCCGTCAACCAGTGGATTTGGAGCCAGACGCCACAATCCTTATTCGCTTCTGTCAGCTAGGTCTGAAATTCAGCCTCCTCGGAACAGGATTGTCCTGTGTGTTGCTTCTTAGCTGCGATAGGTCCAGGTTTGCTAGAGAACTGGCCTCTTTCAGTGGATGAGGCAGTGGAAGAAATCAAGTTTGTATCCTAGATCCCTATGGAAAGTAAGGCTGCCGATGTATGCCACAGGTCCAGGACAAGTTAGTGGCTTCAACGCCATGAGCCTTTCGAATCTGAAGCTCGGGGGATCTACGCGCTTCTGGGTTGCAGAAAGGAACTTGAATTCAGTTACCACAATGGGTATAGTAGACAATAGGGTTTCTGCTCCCCAACATAGTATAATTAAGTTCCTGAACAGCAACCCAGGCTTCTGGTGTGTCATTCTAGCGGCCTATACCTTGACGTCCACTTTTGGTTTTCTGATTCTACGGGAGTGGCGGGCCTTTGTTAGCGTCCTGGATGAAAATGGGTGGTTGTCAAAATTNNAATTTTGACAACCACCCAGATGGTTTGGCCTAGGCCCTGCCAATGGCGGCTAGAGACAGAACAAGCCACGGAGCCATTGCGCAGCTTTTTACCCTGGCCTGGTATCAACTACTGTCATGGTGGTCGCTGTTGTTATGTTAGGTATATCATCGTTTTAACAATAACATGAAAATAAGTATTTCAATATAACGCAACATGTTACTAGAATTATTGCACATATTCTCAGTGCTTGTATGACCCCGCTACTCGGGCACGGATGACCACGCAAGATCCATGTGAGGTATAAAGCGGCAACACTTCGTGAAGGCAGTGTCTGGAGCTTATGGTCCGGCAGTGGCCCAGAGTCGGAGGACCTAAGGAAGTTTCAAGTGGGTAGCATAATGTAGCATATAAGCCCTAAATGGCCCTTATATGAGCCACAGTCTAAACTCCTTGAAGGGGTTACGTAGGGGATTATATAGGGACTAGTAGAGGGGTTATTCAGGGGGATGCGGGGAGTTTGGACTATGGCTCATATAGTCCCAATGACGACATATAAGCCTTATGTAAGGGTACCCGCCGTAACTATGCACCTGCAAACTCCCTTAAAAGGACCCTCATGGTGGAGGACGTTCCTCCAACTTCCTGGTCAGAACAGGGTGTGGTTGCATTTTTCGAGCGACTCTATGGACCCGCTTGCGTATACAGCTGCGTCTGCGTAGGCCAGACTGCGCATACAGACCTTCAAGCTCCCGCCAGAGCAGCTGCACACCTGATACAGATCAACACGGGGCCAGCCACAGCCTTTGTCACTCTGAGATCTGCAGAACGTTGCACTGAAGCCCAGCAGGTGGTGCTCAGTCATACTTCTGGTTGGCGGGTTAGCGAAGCGCCAGAGCCACGAGACTTGATATGGTCCAACGTAGTTAAGCCACGGGGAATGACGGAGCTGCATCAGAAGATAGGGCTGGCGGCAACCGTGGTCTGCGTTCTGTTTTGGTCCGTGCCTGTGACGTTGATCCAGGCTTGGGCTAACGTGGAATCACTTTCAAAGTGGGTTCCTGCTGTACACGACTTAAGAGGGTGGTCTCCAACACTCTACGCACTCATTACCAGCTACCTACCAGTCCTGGCCCTGATGGGCCTGCAAGCGCTGTTGCCATATTTCTTTGCTGCAATGGCACGAAGCTACGAGGGCCACAAGACCAGGTCTGGTGTCGAGCGCGTGGTGCCTGATGCCGAGCTCATATAAACATAGATATAGAATAGATAAGTGTGTATTCAATGTAGAAATAGATAAATAGATGAATACATATATGTATATATATACACATGTATACAGGGATTGTATAGAGATAATGGAAAAGCAGGTGGAAATCACATGAAACCACTCGTTTGTTTGCTGCTCTAACCATCGCACACATCAACCCTGCACATCCTAGGCAATCTCAGCTTAGCCCACTCTAGTGGTTCTTATGCTCAGGTGCTGAACCGGTGTTTCAACTATCAGCTGGCCAGTCTCTATGTCACGGTACTTTCCGGCTCGCTTTGGGATTCGCTCACGCAAATTCTGGATCAGCCGTCACAGGTAGTGGAGATCTTGGCCCGCGCCCTTCCGAAAGCCAACGTGTACTTCCTGTCCTTTGTGTTGGCCCGCGCCTGCGTCGGACTTCCCCTCCTACTGCTTCGACCAGAGATCTTGCTTCCCACGTGCAGGTCATCAGGACCAGATGCCAAGATCCACTGCGCTTACGGCTACGAAGCATCCAGCATTGCGATCGTCCTGGTGACTCTGGGTTGCTGTGAGTAGAATGTAGTTTAAGTTCGGCCGTCCACAATAATAATAGAGCTTTGGTAACCCCATTTTTTTTACAAGAACATTCTAAGGCTCATTTCTGCACATGTCATGTGGTCTGTATTTCAGGGTTTAGGTAACATCGGTAACCCAAGTCCTAAAAACCCAAACCCCTAAGAAAGCCTAACAAGCCCTTATGAACCCAGGATTGGGATCACCTATTCTTTCATTGCTCCTGCCATTCTCCCGGCGTGTGCAGTCTACTTTGCTGTGGCCACTCTTACTTACAGATGGCTATTTACCCATGTATATGATGCAGAGTTCGATGGTAGTGGCATCTTCTGGTATGATTTATTCAACTGCGTGCTTTTGGGCCTTTTGTTGAGCACCTTATCCTTGATTGGATTGGCCCTCCTCTACGGCTCCTACACCCAGCTCGTCTTCCTTGTCCCTCTCCCTCTCTTGGTGGTCTACCTGGCGCTGCGTTGCTGGGGCCGCCTAGGCCCAAAGGGTCATCAAAGAAGGTCTGAAGGGCATAGGTAGAGGTGGATGGAGGCTCGTTTGTACCCCTTTAAACGTTTATTTTCAACAAAACGTTGTTCATTCACAGGTCTGTTGGTGCTCTGTTTTCCCGGTCGACCACTCTTGTCCCAGTGTCTTCGCCATCTCTTGAGTTCGAACTCTTTTAAACCGCCTTGAAGCCCTTGAGCGTCCCAACCCTAAGCCCTGAAACCCTGAAACCCTAAACCCACGAATGCATGCATAAACCTGAGCGCCCAGTGATAGGGTGGAACCCTAAACCCTAAACCGTGTGATAGGGTGGAAGTCCCGCTGGACAGCTCTGGAGGATGCCGTTCGAGCAGACCAAGATGAGGGGAGTGCCCTATCAGGTTTTCCGAAAATTCGGGGTACCATTTTGGGAGTCCCTATAATTGTGGATATGCGTTATATTTGAAGTAATATGGGGATAATGGAAAAGAAAATGGAAACTACTATTTAGGGTTTAGGGATATGGGGATTCCCACAATTAGGGGAAAGATTTTGGGCCTATAATAAGGATTGTAATATTTTGGGGTCTATATTGGGGTCCTCCTATTTTGGGAAACTACCCTATCAGGTTTTCAGGAGAACCTCTACGCGGAGCCGTCGCCAGGTTAATGCCTCTCAGAGCATTCGACCTCCTGGCTCTCAAGAAAAGGCTGCGTGATTACACTCCCCCAAGCCCCATTGTAGAGGGACTATAGTCTTTACAGGGCCCCTTTTGGGTTTCCATGTTAGTTTCCAGGAGTGTACCTGTCATAAAGGCCCTAAAGCCTAAACCCATAAAGGTGATGGACATGACCTGCACGCTGAGGAAGCAATGAACGCTCCCCGAAGGCATTTGCTCATAGCTTCGAAGATGTGTTTCTTGGATGTGTTGTTCGATGCATGTTTAGGGATTTCCAACTGGAAGCTACTTAGAGCACTGTGTCAGCACTGTGGCAGCACTGTGGCTGCATTGGCCTTGAAATTTGTAAAGGCCTACCAGGCTGTAGACTCGTGACCTCGACGGCAATTTTAGCGAGATTATAAGATTACACTCATGAAAAAGGGCAAGCGTGGTCGGTACGTCAAGTCACACTACTGCCCGAAATCCATGCAAGCAGTCCATGTGTGCATGCTTTAAGCAATGGGATCTGGTCCCTCTGCGGCTGTGGCCTTGGGCATATAGGGGTTATATAGGGCTTGTATTGGGGTTATATTGGAGTTATATAGAGGTTATATTAGGTAACCATGTAGTGAGATTGACCAGTAAGGGCCCCTGATGCTCAGGTGCGTGATGAAAAACTACGTGCTGACATTGCAGCCGCTGCCTTGTAAGCAGTGCTCCGAAAGGCCGCATTCAACTGGGTTGCTGTTGAAGACCCTTACACAAGTTACTATAATAGGGAAAACCTATTATCTACCCCATATCCATAGTATGGTGGCTGAATTGAAGTCTGAACAGCAACTCAGTCAAGAGTTGAGCAAAAGCAAGGTCAAGCTCCATGCAGCTAAGAGGGCACGACGCGATGCCCGAGCAAATAGGGCGGTCATGCAAGACGCCTTTGATGCGGTGGGCCCTGACTCTGTGCCGGCCCAAGTTAATCTGCTGCCGGGGGGACTACGGCTGACACCGAAGCATAATTAGGGCAAATTCTACGTAACAAGAAGAGCAATGATAGTGATAGCATTATCATATAGGGCAACAATGAACAATAATTTGTGAGATTTGTGTACTCCAGGCGGGGTCTGTGAGCTATCAGCAGTTCAAGCGCGCTTCTGAGCGCCTGGGAATGCGAGTGGCGGACAAGCAGCTCAAAGCCGCCTTCGCGCCTTTTGAGGCGCGCGCGTGTCACATCATTTAATTTGTTAAAAAGAGAGAGAAGTAAACACTTACATATGTAAATCCTAAATCCTATGCAACATGGTGTAACATCATGGTATAGTCCAGTTGCAGGTGCTCCATAGTGGTCGGCTCACCTGCGCGGCTCTACGGCAGTAATTTTCATATCAATGTGGGATAAAGTGGCTTGCTTTCAGGGAACTTAGTTTAGATATTCCTAATATCAATGCATATTAAAGAAATAGTGTTTCCATATTGTAGTAGTTTAACGCAAGTTCCTGAATAGCAACCCAGATAAAGCTCGTTGCGAATCTGGGTAAGGCCGAGTTCATTGAGTTCGTTTGCAGCGACGAGACCAAACCAGCTCCATCGAGCCCGTGCTCAAAGCAGTCCCTTTGCATACCCTCTGAATGATGGTCGCTATAACATGCTAAACTGTACTGTCCTTAGGAATTATCTTTAATTTTCATTATGTATAACTCTGAGGAAATGTTAAACTACCATTTTTATTACAGGTCTAAGGAGACTACAGTAAAACCGGGCCGGCAAGTTCAGAGATGAGACCGATTTCAGGAAGGGAGCCTCGACTGGCAGGCGCCGTCCTTCGCACGCAGGCGGAGGTGCATGCGCAATGGCACGAGCAACTTTAAGCGTAGACCCTCCAACTGGGTAGGCCCCTGGGATATTTAATGTTTTCCCTAATGGCTTTAATAGGGTCCGGTCTATAGAGTCCTTTTCTAAACTACTTGTAGCCCATAAAGTAGGTTAGTTGGAGGGTCTTGAAGTATAAGCTTCGGTGACGGCAGGCAGCGGACCTCCAGCAAGCAAGGACTGGATCAAAGAACAGGGCTTGAATGGGCTTTAGGGTTTTCGCGTCTTGAATTGCCTGCCAGGACAAGCTTGTGGATTCCTCTGAGGGCGGCATCCGGCGGTCAGCCGCCAGAATAGCCGATGTAATTTTCGAAAAAGAGGCCGTTCGCATAGTAGCAATTCAGCAGGCTGTGTGTGATCCTGAGAAAGTTAGTAGTTAACTAGTTCTGGCCAGATCGATTTGCGGAATGCCTTCAAGCAATGGGACTCCAAGAAGTGTGGTGGTCTTGATGTGGAGGAGTTCCAGGCTGGGCCCCGGAGGTCCCAATCTCTTCCCTCAACAATGAGACATTCCACTATGGTAGCTTCAGCTGCTCCCTAGTGCTTAGTAGGGAATGGGGACAGGGCCTGTAGGGACTATAACCCCAACATATGCCCTCGAATAATGCAGCAGATTCCGTCTTCATTTCCATCATCCTCTATATAACCTTAATATCTTTCCTTATAAATAGGCACCTTCATGTCCATCATCCCCTATATAATTCCAATATCTTCCCTTATGGGCTTTACAAGGCACTGCCATAGGAAACCAGGCCCTCGGCCCTCGTTCATCACCTTGCGCAGGGTGCCCTTGGAAGCCTGGGCTTCGATGCGACGCCTGAGGTGACCGCTGCTGTGTTCAAGGCAGGAAGCTGGCAAGATGGAATGGTACCCAAACCGCAAAAGTATGTAGAATAATGGCGGGTTTAGGGTTTAAGGATGTAGAATAATTGCCTTTTTAGTTATATTTAGGGGTTTTGGGCTATTCTCTTACCTACTCTTGAAATGATGCGTATGGTGATGGGTTTAAAGCTTCATGGGGTTTATGGGTTTGATGCGGTTGAAGGGTCCCCCGCATAATTTTCACAACATTGGATGCCAGGGCAATTTTCAGATGGGTCATGATTTAGAAGTCACTGCTTGGAGGATCACATATGAATACCTACTGAATTGCACGCATACATACCTTGGCCCAGCAAACAATACCAAAAATATTCTTCACCATGATCACCCCTTTCGCCCGCTATATGGTGCATTTTAGTTTCCCCACAGATTGTGGCCAGAACCATTTGGAGGCCTTCGACTTGAAGGGTGATGGCCGAGTCTCCTGCTGGGAATTTACGCGGGGCCTCCACAACTTGCAGGCCAGATCCTCCACACGGTTGCTTTAGGGTTGTACAGGGGTTAAATAGTTTGGGGTATATTATGCTATATTAGAGGCAAGAGAAAAGGCGTTATATAGTTTGGGGTATATTATGGTATCTTAGGAGTAATGGAAATAAGCAAATGGAAACTACCATAATGGGGTTATATAGGGCTGTATTAGGTGTATGGTCCTTTTTGTGCATACTCCAGGGTGGGGTGTGCAATGGGGGCATGCTTAGCTTTTAAGGTTCAGGGTAGGTTGAGGGCTTCTAGTCTTAGGGTTTCAGCCATGGCTGGCGCATATTACAGAATTCTGCTACTGTTCGAGCGCGCATCCCAGTAGTGATGATCTGCCTACTCGTTCTGAGTATCAAGGGTTCAGTAGGAGGGACCCTAGAAAGGATCCTTAATCCCAGAATCTATATACACCGTATATTTTGCTCACATACCCCCTACTATACATACATTACATACCTAGGTGGTCCCAATATTCTTTCTTCTTAGCTACAAGAGTCGCTAGTGAGGGCCCCTCCTCCAGTCCCTAGATTGCAGTGGCTCTTGTTGCCTAAGGCAGCGGCAGAGGCCACAGCCACAGATGACGAGCGCCAGATGCTGAGGGGTGAAACTAACCTGCGAGTGTGTGAGATCGGGATTACGTGCAGGCTTCCCAAAGCAGGTGTCCCCGTTCGAATGCCCGGACTTGTAGGATCCCGATTTTGGGGCCCCAATAAAACGGACTCATGATTGCATCGCTTGCATGACAACGCCACCGGCTCTCGCAAAGCCGCCACAGCGGGGAGGGAAGCTATCCTGAAGTAGTCTGGTGCAGCTTCCTTGGCCGTTCGTTTGACCTAGATATCCTCCACACCAAGGGCGTGCGCGCAGGGATAGAAAGAAGGCATCGGCCTTGCAGAAACAGGCTTGGAATGCTGCGATGTCAGGATTGCTTTTTGGGGTATAGCATTTTGCATAAAGAATATAGTCTTATTAGGTTCAAGCACCCAAAAATGCACTACTCACATGACTTTGCACTTTGCAAGTCCTTGGGCAGGCAGCCGCGCTGACTGTCGTAGGGGCTGGTCTGGGGGGAGGACAATGCCTGGCACAGCCAAAGTGGTAGTTCCCATAAATACGGGGACCCCAACATACACGCAAAATACTATGGGCCTTTTCATGGGGACCCCCAAAAACCCTAAACCCCAAATCTTAAACCCTAAACCCTTAACCTTACACCCTAAATCCTAAACCCTAAACCCTCGACCCTAAATCTTAAACCCCAAGCCCTAAACCTTAAACCCTGAACAAAGTTGCTTTACATCCATCCAGCTTTTTGGGAAGGACACCTTCCGGAGGCGCGAGGTCGTCTTACTGCCTGTCTAAACTGCTAAGGGGCTAGTAAGGGGGATACTAGGAGTTTAGACTATAGATCACATAACACACAACATAACACACACATACATATATATGTATATATGATATTCCCTCTTCTCTACTTAGAAGCAGGAAGACACTTCTTCATGGAAAGGCTTCCCAACACTATTCATGCTCATGTAGACTCCAGCAGAGGTCATATGGGGTTATATCGGAATAATGGAAACTGGAAAGTAATACATTATTTAATCACAGGGTATATACATATACGGCACGTTGCCCCACATAACGGAGACCAAAATGAAAATATATGGGCCATAGTCTAAACTCCTTAAAGGGGGTTATATGGGGGGTTACATAGGGGATCACTGTAGGGCTTATTAACAGAGATACTAGGAGTTTAGACTATAGCACATATGGAAACTGAATTGGAAGCCGGGGGTTGGCAACCTGACGTGCAGGCCACAGCACTCTCTGGTGCACTCGCCGGCGGCAGTGCCGCATCGACCTCGGCTTAACCCTAAACCCTACAGATTTTAGGGTTTAGGGTTTAGGTGTAGGGGTTTAGTATAAACCCTAGGGTTTATACGGTTTATACAATTGTGTAGGGTTTGGGTCCGGAGTTTTGAGCGGTTGTTGAGCGAGTTTCCGTTTTAACTTTTGAACTATACAATTTGTATTTATTTGGGCTTGAGGGTTCAGGGCTTAGGGTTTAGGGTACCCTAAACCTGTGTAGGGTGGCGAGTGCAGACCGGCTGATAGGATACTCGGCCAACATTTGCAGGTGGTAGTGGGGAGAGGACTGAATCCTCATAGCATTCCTGTAATTAGCATTCCTGCAGCATTCTTACAGTAATTAGTCTCCATCAGTCATCCCTGCTTCCTATGCCTTTAGTCCCCTACTAACCACCAGTAAGCTAAGGCGCACCTGAGAAAAGCCCTTCACGATGCCGAGAAGGTTGGCATTGATCCCGAAGAGCTCGAGGCGGAAGCAATTTGCAGCGATGTCACATGTGGGATACGTGTTTAGGGTTTAGGGATACATGGCTACAGCGAAACAAGAGTAGGGAAACCAGTACAATTGGGTTGATGGGAATAGTGAAAAGAACATGGGAAGTACTTTCGGGCCTAATTATCGGGTTTAGGTAGGTACGATAGGGACCTATATGGACCTTCCAATTGCGCTAGACATGGCCTATCAGGTTCCCGCTGCTGTAATAGCCGGTATTTAGGCCCTAAACCCTACATCCTACACCTTAAACCCCTAAACTCTAAATCGCACCAACGCGACATGAAAGGCGGCGCGGGCCAAATTACAGGAACTCGAAGAGCGTGAAGCTGCTGAAGATGAGCTGCTTCCTCGGTGAACTCTTGCACCCTAAACCCGTAAGCCTTAAGCCCTAAACTCTAAACCCCTAAACCCCTGAACTCTAAACTCTAAACCCCTAAACCCTCAACTCCTCAACCCTAACACCCTAAACTCTTAACACCTAATCCCTAAACCCCTAAACTCCTAAACCCTCAACCCCTAAACCCTCAACCCTTAAACCCACAAACCCCCTTCTCTCCCTGAGGCTGGAGGATGCGTTGGAGGTGCCTCGGAGTGCCACAAGGCTCCGGCGAGCACTGGAAGATGCTCAGGCTGCTGGACTCGGTGAGGCGCGGCATCCTCTTTGAGGTTCAGAGTTTGGGGTTTAGGGCATTAAGGTTTGGGCTGTAAGGATTAAGGTTTAGGGTTTAAGTTTTGGGGTTCAGGGATTACGGTTTAGGGTTTAGAGTTTAGGGTTTAAGGTTTGAGGTCTAGGGTTTAGAGTTTAGGGATTGAGGGTTTACATGGGAGCCCTGGCGGGGATTCTATGGATGTGTAGAGACTACATAGGGTTCTTGCCTTTTGTGCGTCAGGACCTCAGTAGCAAACCCATCATTCTCACACAGCATGTGTCGCGTGACACGTGCTAACTCCCACACCCACACGCACGCACGCACGCACGCACGCACGCACGCACGCACGCACGCACGCACGCACGCACGCACGCACGCACGCACGCACGCACGCACCCACACGCACCCACACGC